TTATTTCACTTTTGAATAATTAATTTTGGACGAAGTGAAAAGGTCACAGTTCAAATTCAAACTGAGGCGAAGAAGCATACTTACTCAAAAGGGTAGAAATATATTCCACAAATCGACGGCTTCACAGTCAACTGATCGTTGAATGACCTCTTCCCTGACTTACATTTGTAAACAAGTAATTCCACTAATTCCATCCAAATGTAAAGCGTTGAAATATATTACCCTCTTGTTTCCGAAAGTCTTGAGATGGCAATCTGTGATTTATATCGTTTTCAAACTCAAGCAGTACTGTGTTTGAATTTGTGTCATGCAAAGAAGCGTACTTACCCCGGTACTCAAAAGGGTAAAAATATATTCTGCAAATGGACACCTTTACAGTCTGATTGTTGAATGACCTCTTCCATAAACAAGTAATTCCACTAATTAATTCCATCCAAATGTAAAGCGATGAAATATATTACCCTCTTGTTTCCAAAAGTCTTGAGGAGGCGTCTCACTGTGATTTATATTGTTTTCAAACTCAAGTGATATTTTCTTTGAATTTGTGATCACCAATGGAGACATTTTAAACTTCTGATGGTTCAAAGCAATTAATATTGGCTATTAAAAGTACAACGGCTCCTGTAGAACCTGCGCTGGTCACATGCCAAGTCTTTCCTAGCTTTCGCGAGTAACTTTACTCCCGTTGTCTCGATTTGTCGACTTGCATGAACATCTGAAAGTGAATCAACAATTGCAAATGGGTTTCATTTTGAACATTACATATAGATTCATGAGAGATTCAAACTTGGAAACTTGTGTTTCAGCATGTACAGTATCATATTGGGGCTCTTCATCAAATCGAGGCTTAGACAAGGCATGGATTTATGTTGGCTATTGAGGTGATTTGCTTAAGATGGCTCACTATAATTTTATGATTGCACGCATGCATAGGACGAACGCTCAAATAAACTGCACACTTAAAGGAAAATGTCAGTGTTTTGCGATTTTTATGACGTCAACTTGAGCACAAAAAGCAAAACTGACTGTGAATTTTCTCGCGTTTCCTTCGGTGCGTTTTTTTTTTAATTTGGCGCAGTTGTAACCACATACAATTCCTATAAAATACCCTATTTTTGTTAAAATCTGTCAGA